TCAGTCTCAGTTCGCGATTCTAAAAAATGTCTTGGCAGTCAATCAGGTCAGTTCACTACCTCCAGACTGACAGTTTGAACCGCAAAGATGAACTGACAACTGACTGATTGACTGATAGCAACTCTGAGTCCAGTATGTTTCATTTCGGGGCAGGATCAAGAACATGCATTGGGAGAAACATCAGCCTCTTAGAAACATACAAGATCATTCCCACCTTCCTGAGGAAGTTCGAGGTAAGCATTGCAGATACGCGATCTCAGGGCTTCACTAATACTTGTGCATAGATTGAGATTGACGAAAGCCAAGAGCCGATGTATTTGAAGAATGCCTTCTTCGTACATCGCAAGAACTTCAATGTCCGCATTAAGTTGAGACAGAAAAACACGAATTAGTGTCACTGCAGTGGCATAGACTTGCCGCTTGATGAATATTGTAAGCTTAGCAATAGAAACCGTCTCCCAGCAGAAAGTCAAATTCAGACTGCCCAAAGAAGTCGTTGTTCATGCTGAAGTCGTAATGCCTAGGAGGAGAATTGCGGAGTGCTCCAATGTCAGAGGCGGAAGCGCCGGGTGTAGGCAGCTCTCTAATATCTGATTGATACGGCGTTAGACAAGGCACATCAGAGATAGCTGCTGTCGACCTGGACGACTTACAAACTGAGTCTAGCTTTTGAGTGAAGACTTCGAGCGCTTCACGAGCTTTCCGAAACAATGGACTAGTCCGTTGCAGTACTCTCATGTTGTCAAGGCATTGCCCCAGTAGACCTCTGATCCTAGATGCCGGAGTGATAGTCTTCGCTTCAAGTTCAGGACGGATGTGGTACAGCAATGCAAGACAGAAAAGATGCATGGCTAGTATCGAACCTGCTTCTCGTTAGTGTTACCTTATCTGATCGCCGTATAACGCCTGTCCTTACAGGCATGATTGGAAATCCATCGGACGTTGTTGTGGTTCATGAACTCCTCGCTTTGTGAAATGATACAAAGGATTTGATTCAAGTTCTCGAGTACAACGAGATCGCTCTTGATGGTCGGCACACATTGCTCGAATAGAGATTCGTCAGCTTCATCTACACTGGAGGAGCCGACAACGACATCCAGCAAGTTTTTAATGACCGGTCCGTTAAGCATGATCAGAGCGCGGTAGTAATGTACTGTTAGAGTTATTCTGAAACGATTCTCTTCGATTCGGGATGTAAGGACGGTGCAAATCTCTTGTGGTGTGATGAGCCTTAGACGAGGGTCGAGCTGTTGACGCCACTCTTCAAATCGCTGGTACAATTGCAATCTCAATGCAAGCAAAGACCACGTGCTTAAAGATATCTCCCTTCCGATGTTGTGTTGGTAAACGTCACTGAGCATGGCTGCAATGATACTATATAGGTCGCTTTGCATCTTTGTTAGTTCGAGTTTCGCAAGAATGATCATCGAGCCTTACGTTTGGTATTTGTGCTGAAGAAGACTTTCCACTTGATATTCATGCGCAAGAGGTAACACGTGGTGAATCTGTCTCGGGTCTTCTAGTTCAGGCGTACATATGTGCTGTGACGGAATAAGACACGGTCTACCCAGGCACATACAAAGCATCCTGAGTAACTTAGCTTCTAGTTGGGGAAAATCAGATTGATGAGGGAATACCTATCCTGATTGATCAAACTGTACCATAGTCTCTTTCTCAACTCAGAGTCTGATGGCGAAAGATCTTTGTAGCTGGAAGGACAATGCAGACCGAGCTGAAATGCGGCTTTTACCGTCAGGGCATGGTACGTTCCACTACTGACAGGCATCTGCTGCTGCTGTTGATAGCTCGTAACGAGCAGTAACGATTGGACTAAGGGACTTGTTAATACTTGATAAAGAAGCGAGAGAGTAACAACTCACTGAGTTCCAAACTTGCGCCTCGGAGAGTTTCAGGGGTCAGATATTGTATGGTCCGCTGGAAATACACATCACACTTGGGATCTTCAATTGCCAGACACGAATGTGCAAACATAATGTTGACAAGTGCTCGCTTTGTAGTCCATCCTGGCTTGCGAGATCCAAAGGCCAGTTCCTTGAGAGGTGCTGTTAGAGTCGCTTTGCTGACGAAAGGAAAGGCTCCTGCGCTAGTTGCTATGAAGCGGTCAAGCATTGAGAAGGACTCTGAAATGGTTGGTAATGTTTCCTCAGAGTTGTGCTTCAGGTTGCTTGTTGGGTTTACTCTTGATGTGTTGATCTCACTCCAGTCTTCGGTTGTTTCTGGTTGGGTTTGATCATGCTGTTGCGGCGCACCACGCAAGAAGCGTATGAAGCAACGTGATATTGATCGAAAAAATGCATGATTCGAAGACAAACCTATCCATATTGTTAGAGAGCTCGTATAATGAAAGCTAATCACTAACCGAAGTGTCCAAACTCCGATGCGTGCCGATCCTGGAAGACCTCTGCGGCACGAACCTCCTCACTAACTTCTTGTTCAGAGATGTCAACAGCTGTGTCGGAATCAATATTGCCGACATCCCTTGCTTCAGTCTGGGCGCATAGTCTATGGATCACATCAGGTCGCTGGGTTACAGTGTCCACAGTGTCATCAGGGCGGGTCGTTGCTGAGTATCTGGTCGCCGTATGCAACTGATGTTGTAGTTTTCTGACTTTGTGCATCGCCTGAGCTCGGCTGTCGCTGTCAGATTTCACCCAAGCTGAGTTCTAGACACATACTCATTAATTCTTCTAGAACCAGTCTTTCTAGACGCTTTCGCATATACACAGTCGATGCCGAGGTGCTGACACGTCAAGCAAGCAGGTTGTATGCCATCGCACTGATAACGTTATGGGTCAACAAATGAGACAAGGATACACCAGTCTAAGAAACGCCAAAGCTCCCGAAGCAAAGAATCTTACCTTGGTCTTTCTAGACCTGCAACTTTGACACGCGAGCGATACACGTTTTCCCCTAGTCGAAGCTGACGCTTGAGGCGATGGCAGCTCTCCACACAGGTCATCGTTAGCGTTCACGGCCGCTGCTGGTATGACGGTATCTTCAGTAACCATCTTTTCGGATACCTTTGCAGCATAGGATCGTTCAGCAAGTTCCGGTAGGATTGTGAGTTCTGGTAGTCGGAACATCAAGTGATGATGGCAACGGGTCGGGAACGACGGAAGCCGAAGATCCCGACCCCGCTCTCCACATCCCGTACTTCCCCCGCATACTACCTTAACAGCTCTTGCTCGTAAAGTCTGTCCATGCGAAACGATGGCCGAATGGTCTAAGGTGGTAGATCTGGGTCCGCTCTTGGTCGTACAACGTCGCACCGGCCAGTGCAATTTAAAGAGGTCACAACCGTGAGATGGAAGTTATGCAGCTAGCAAGATTATCATCATGGCCTTCTTACCGATCCCTTTATTGGCCTTGTTGACAGTCCCGGTTGTCTACCTACTATCATGGATGCGCCATTGGCTTCAAGATAGGGGGAAGCTGCCATTGCCTCCGAAACCACCAGGCGTGCCACTACTGGGAAATGCGGTCGATGTCATCCGATCCGGAAAGACGGGCTCCCTACACCTACTTTTCGGCCAGTATGCTCGCGACCACGGCGAGATAGTTCGTTTGCAAGTTGGGCCCTTTACTCAGTACTTCATCAATAGTGACGAAGCCGTCAAAGCCATCTTCGATAAAGCATCTGCCACGACATCGGAGCGCCCACGTTGGATCATTAGCAACGAACAGATATGCAATCAAGAGAACGTGCTTCTATTGAGTGCCAGCCATCCCAGGTGGAAACACCAGAGGAAGGTCATCTTGCAAGGTATGACCAGTGTCACACGCGCCGATGCTGGTCTCGACTACCTGCATTTTGAAACGGCAAAGTTTCTGAAGCAAGTCGCCGGTAATGACGATCTAGCCGGTAACAGTGTCCAGCTCTTCAACGAAATTGGCCGGTATACGTACAGCGCATTCGCCAGTCAAACATTCGGCATGGATATCCCAGACGAGAAAGATCCAGTGATTGAATACATCTTCCGCAGCGGATTAGAACAGATCTTAGGAACACTTTCTGGATCTCACCTTGTCGATATACTCCCAATCTTGGACGGATTACCCCTTGTCCTCAAGCCCTGGGAGAGAAAGGCAAGAGCGCTCTTTCAAGACAACATGAAATGGTCCATCGAGCGCCTGCAGCGAGTTGAAAAGGCCATTAAGGCGGGCAGAGTCAACGACTCTTTCTTAGCTCGTGTATTACAGGATGAGAAAAACATGGGATTTGAAGACCGATCTGAGGCCGCTTACCTGGCTTTCATGCTCATTATCGGCGCTGCAGATACTTCGAAAATGTCATCATGGTCTTTCCTCGAGGCCATGATGCGATTTCCCGCTGTTCAGGCCGAGGCGCTCAGCAAGATTGAAGCTGTAGTTGGAGTTGCAGACCGCCTACCAATCTACGAAGACCTCGAGTCGATACCTTACGTACGCTACCTGATGAAGGAGCTCTGGCGTTGGCGCCCACCTGTTGCACTCGGCCATCCACATATGACTACCAAGGAGCTGAATTACAATGGCATTCGTCTGCCTGCCGGCTCTCGTATCCATCTCAACTCGTGGGCCATTGGGCATGACCCGGGCCGACATGTCGACCCAGATCGCTTCTGGCCTGAGCGGTACGAGGGAGACTTGACGAATAGTGAGCAGAGCAAGAACTCCGCTAACGTTAAAGACCGCGATCATTTCGCTTTCGGATCCGGGCGGCGTATCTGTCCCGGGTATCATGTCGCCGAACGTTCACTGGCAATTGCGATCATGCGTCTAGTGTGGGCGTTTGAGATCGTGCCAGCGCCAAACGCCAAGTTGCCACTCGACCCGAGAGATTTCCCTGGAGATATGCCAGGAAATCCAGGAGAGCATATGCCTGTTATGTTGAAGGTTCGTAGTGAGGCGAAGAGAAAGATAATTGACGAGGAGTACGCGAAAGCAGAGGCTGCACATCCTGCGATGGAGCCTTTGAACCATGATGGATGGTCTTGGAAGTTCTGAAGGGCAAGACATATATAACGGCTGTGCGATGCGCACTCGCTGTAATCAATGCAAGCATTATAGATGTCTTAGCAGACACTACTCGATAGCTGTTCCAACGTATTCATGTACCAGCAGCCCTACAGACTACCTTAAAGAAGTTATTCTGAATGTTTAAGAGCAAAGGCACGCGTCATGCATCTGCGATACGATGGCTTGCTCGGATTTGGTGACATGCTCGTCTTCAAGAATAGTTCTATTGTAATCGCAGCTCGAAAGGCTTCATCTTTGTGAGTTAACTCCTCATATAAGCTCTTCAGCCTGATTTGAATGAGCGACATGTTGCATATTACTGCGTTCAACGTCTTGAAGTCTTCTACGTATAGTGCACATAGCGTGTAATCTGGATGCTTTGGAGGCTACTTCCAGAGGTACCTACGATGGAGGCTGCCGCATCACAGACTATGCCACTATCCTCGTGCATTGTCCTCGCACATCGCTCTTAGTGAAAGACCGACATCATCAGCGGCTACAGAGAACGGTAACTTTATCATAGCTCGGCCGAGGCTAAGTGGATAGCGGAATGCGGGATAGACGTCGTAACCCCACTCTTCCCGGAGTTTCCTGACTGGCGAAACGCAAACACTACACCTGCACCAGGAATACTCAAAGATGATATGGAAATGATATGGCAAATATGTAGAACGGGATGCGATCTCAATATACCTAAGTATTCACGACATTCGCTGAACTCCGGGAGTGGAATTTCTGAAGGCGGTTCGCCTTCAATATGGATGTGCATCGCGCTCATCTATACCAAAATTGTCGGCTGTTGATACGATCTCAACGGAGCATAATGGAAAGAGAATTACGGTACCCCGCGAATCGAGCAACGCGTCTCATCTTTGCTGAAATCAGAGTATAGACCCGTTCCCGACCCGACTATCGTATATCCAATGATGCTACAGTCCGAAGGCCCGGATCGGATCGCGCTCGCTTCTCGTTATGCTCCGATCCGAAGTATGTATCACTATAAACAGTGTATCCTTCATGTTTCTCGAGATGTATCATTCCATCACAACCAGGCCAGTTACATTCGCCTTGGAAGACATTACTCGTGGGCTTTCCATACCAATCACTACTGTTACGGGCCCAAACCTGAAACTCATACAAACATCTACCAAAATGGACGTTCCCCAATCCTCTAGCATGCCACGCGTGCAACAACCGCTTGGTAAATCCTCGCCATACATCATTCCTGCATACGAGGGCGATACCATGATGATACCCGGACACAAAGTTACTGTACGCCTACTCGCCAGTGCGAAGGAGACTTCGGGCCTGTTATCTGTGTTCGGATACGATGGTGCTCTCGGGGACCCTCCAGGCTTCCACTATCATAACTTGGCTCATGACGTTTTCATGTGCACACGTGGACATGTGAAAGTCTGGGCGGGAAATCGCTGTAAAATCCTCGGTCCGGGAGATTTCTGCTACGTTCCTCCCAAGGTCGTGCATCGACCACAGCTTATCGATGATGGCACCAACGAATCGATCGGAGTAGTCACTCCTGGACAATGGGTTGACTTCTTTCGGCTGATTTGTAAGAAGTATGATGGTGTTTTTGCGGATGAGTTTGATACAAGCGACATAGGAGAGTTGGTTGGATCTAGAATCACGGAGATCAAGGAGAAGTACGACGTCGTCTTTCAACCAGGATTTCAGGGTGCGGAAGTCAGCGATTTGACAAAGGAAGAGGACTCTAAGTTGCCCGATGAGCCTGGCAAGGAGTACTATCTCAAGGCGAACACAGGACCGTGCCATCTACTCGAGGGTGTGCTAAGCAGGCCTTTCATCACCACTAAGCAAACTCAGTCGCCCACGGGGAACTTTGCAGCTACAGCTATCGAGTCAAGTAACCGGTTGGCAAACTCGGTCCTGAGTAGGCCATTCGCGTTCATGAAGGTTCACCAGGTATATCATGTTCTAGATGGAGCGATCAACGTCACTCTTGATGGGAGTGCGAATGTCATTCGAGCAGGAGAGACAGCTTTTGTTCCGGCCGGCACTGCAATCTCGATTGAGTTCCTCGACCGATACAACCGCTTCTGGGCGTACTCGAGCGGAGATGGATTGGAGTCGCTGATCGCGGATGCTGGTGGCAAGTTCGAGGGCACTCTTGTGCCAGACAAAAGTAGACCGCTTGATAAAGAGGCGTTGAAGAATGCAGCAGAAAAACATGATGTCAAGATTTCTAGTTAATACATGCGTACGTAGCAATACCGATCAAAACACATGAAAAGATCTAGTTGAAGTGGCGCTCATACATTGTTTTCAGGCCTCCATATCAGTGGACGCGGCTTCGACACCAACTTAGGGTACTCGGCATCTGCTAGATGGTACAGGGACATTATGTTGGGATTGGTTTAATACAATACCATCGGGGTGCCACATTGAAATCGACGTCACATTTCGTCCCTCAAATGCCTTCTTGACGTCACTCCAATACACCAAGTGCTGCCCCTCTGTAGCGATTGTGCGTTAAGAATCAATGAGAGCACCATCCTTGATCATCGACACACCGGCCATAAAGGCCCTGTACATCCAATCATCTCCGTTTTGCCCATTCTCGTTGTCGTATACCAGTATGTCCCTTCCGCTAGGGAACCGCACCTCCACCCAATCCTGGCAAGTCGTATCGAGCAGGTCACATTGATCCAAGTCCTCCTCGCCCGACCAATCTCGGTGCAGTTCGTCTTCCTTGTCCTCAAACACGCGGAAGCTTAGACTAGTACCAACCAGCATGCTCGTTTCGTGGAACAAGAGGCTCTCTGACCTGTAGTAATGTATACCCGAGTTGGCGCACGCTGTGAAGAATTCACGAAGCGTATTCGGGTAATGGAAGTTTGTGTGCTTGAGAACGACGCGGCGAATCGAGGATGAGTGTACGTTGATGATCCGCGCAAGAGTGGGCGCAGAAGTGCTCGTGACAAGCCCGTCAAGTTCGAGTGAGCGGAGGCGGAATGGTGGGCTAGAGCCTAGTAGCCGAAGCAAAGGTGCCCAATTCTCGCTACGCGATAACCAGCGCTGACAACTCGATGGGCGCGCAGATAGATGCAGAGATTTGAGGTTCGCGTTGCTTTCGATCATCAAGACAAGGGAAGTCATGGATTCATTCTCCAAGGCCAACATATCCAACTGGAGCTTCAGGCATGTAAGGGCTCGTAGGGCGCATACCCTTCGCATGGAGTAGAGTAATAGTGGACTAGATGTCAACTTCGACTGCCATTTCGAATCCGCGAATCCCAATATCTCAAAGCTGTCTAGCTGCTGTCTTGTATGCTGGAGGCTGGAAATCAGGGCATAACCAAGGCTGACCATAGAGTACGTATCGATAACGTGATCGTGCCGTGGACCATGCAGCCCGAAGTGATATCGAGGGCCGAACCTTAAGTGCGGATGGGCTTCGGAAAAACCAAACAGTGGCAGCTCATTGGTTAATTCCTCGTCACACATTCCCCACAGACCAGGAGGAGCGCGAAACAAGAAGTTCTTGAGATTCGTCAGACGTTGAAAGATACGACCGAACATCCATGGCACCTCGGAGGTACTGATGGCAGCCTTCGCACAGGGTTTTCCTGTTGCTAGATCCCCGAATCGTGATGGCTGGCAATCGAAGATAGTGTACACCTCGAGTGTGCGAATACGCTCGGCAAGTCGCGTGCAAGACAAGGCCTCGAGGCGCGCGACGCTTGCCATGGTCGTTCGACATCGTCGTCTGGAGAAGCATACTTTGACCTGATCAGAGCAGTTAGTTGTCAGAACAACTGACCCCGAAGGCCTCGCTGGGTTCTACGTAATGCTGGAAAGTATGCAAGACATAGCAAATATATTTAGGTTAGATTTTACTTACAAAGCGGTCATCGATACCTCGTGATATGTTTCGGTTGCCCAGTGATCGAAGCGTGAGTAGGTCCTTTTTAGAAAGATACTCAGCAATCATGACAATGAGCTCACAAGGTAGAGACTCCAGGCTGCCTGGAGAATAGACGTCGTGTTTGTCTTTGAGCATGCTGCCGAGGTCTTCACGGATGAAAGCCATGAGTTCTTCCATGTCAATCACTCTCATTTTTGCGGGTTTGATATGTCCTCGGAGTGGTGTGCGACGAAGTTGAGGGATTGCGAGGAATTCTTGCGCAGGCTATCGCTACCATAGTTTTGGTCCTATGGGAAGGACGAATAGTGGTACATAGTGATGTCAGGAAGCCGCCGCAAAAAGCGGAGTTTCCTCGACGTGAAAATCATGTATTGTTCGAACATAGTAACACCGGATTGAGAAGCATCGCGTTCGTGGTGGCTTCGTGAGTCGGTCTTCGTAGGCACCGCATCGGGTAAGTGCTACATCATAGAGAAATCTGGGAGGTATAGTACAGAAGACAAGGCTGCCAAAGCGTGATTGCTGAGTGACGCGCTGTATCCTTGGATATCAGTCGATGTACATGTTGATAGAGAGCATTGTGCGTGGTTGTGTTGTCGTAGTGACCAGCAGAAGCACGGCGATGAGGCAGTTTGGCGCTATTGCGGGTCGCGCGTCGCGTCTCGGCGCAATATCTGTCGCCAGTCTCCCGCTTGCCGTCCAACACCATACCCACAGATGCTGACCCACTCTCTTGCGCGTATTCGTACCAGTGGGGAAAGAGTCGCATACCCCTCGGGTGTACGAGATGACCATGAAGCTGCAAAGTTTACCCGGCACCAATGCCCCACCCCCGCAATGTGGGGTTGTGCGCATGCAACTCACTACGAATGGCTGCACTCAGTACCCGCTACTTGTGATGCCTGTCGCTTAGCACGCTCGGTATCAGGTGTCAATTTATTGAACGCCTGCTCATAGCCGCCACGGTGGAGTTCTGAAGCTTCGGAGAAGTGCATCTTGTAACTCGGCACATCTTCATCCCACGGACGTCGCCAGCGCACCCTTTGAACAACGTGAAGCATGGCAGTAGAACAGATCTTCGAGGCTCTGCCTTTGCATTATTTGCAGCATGGTATCTCAAAGTTTGGCGTGGGAAACATTGCCTTGGCGGTCCTCGCAACCGCAACTTTGGGGGTGTTCGCAGACTATGCTTGGATGCTATACATGAGATCAAAGATGGTAAGAACGCCACACTGTAGCGTGCGAGCATGATACTGATGTTGAGAAGCCGCCTGGGCCTTTCCCATACCCAATCGTTGGCAACACGTTCCAGCTACCAGATAACAAGCCGTGGATCTTCTTCGAGGAACTGTCGAAAAAATACAACACCCCATTGATAACATATTGGATCGGACGCAATCCGACCGTATGGATCAACGATGCTTGGACCGCGAACGAACTTCTTGATAAGAGAGCAGGCATATACTGCTCAAGGCCGCGTATGCTTGTCTTTGCTGAACTCGGCTCTGGTCAGAACAATCTCGTAAATCTCATCACTACCACACAAGCGCAGCGTGAGCGCTTCCGGATGTTGCGCAAGGTGACACATCAGGGCGTTGGCATTCAGCAAGTGAAGAAGTACCGTGATTTCCAGAACGACGAGAGCAAAGTTGTCGCCCTCGACCTCCTGCGTACCCCCGAAAACTATGTCGCGCACTTTGAACGCTATGCGACCAGCGTGGTTTCTATCATCGGCTTCGGCAGGCGTGTCGCGAGCCACGATGATCCCATCATCACCGACGTTATCGCGTTAATGCACCGGGCGGCCGATCTGAACGTGCCAGGGAAGACGTTTCCCATGCTGATGGAAACCTTTCCAATTCTTGCTCGCGTACCGACCGAATATGCGCCATGGAAGCACGGCATGGGATCAAAGAAGAGATCGCATCGTGGTCATGACTTCTTCTACTCCTTAGCAAGTGAAGCGAATGCGAAGCCAGGACACGATGATTGCTATGCGAAGATGCTATTTCGAGAGCAGGAAAAGTATGGTCTCAATCCGAAAGAGATCTCCGCGCTGACTGGAAATTTGTTCGGCGCTGGATCAGACACTTCGAGCAGTACGCTCATTACCGCTGTTCTTGCAATGCGAGCGTTTCCAGAAGCCATGCATGCAGCATGGGAAGAACTAGATCGCGTGGTCGGACCGGATCGCAGTCCCTCGTTTGAAGACGACGCCAATCTGCCTTATATGCGCGCGTTCGTAAAAGAGGTGTTTCGATGGCGATCTGTTGCAATTATTGGTGGACAACCACATGCTCCAGTCCAGGACGATTACTACAATGGTTATCTGATCCCACAATCAACATGGGTGCAGGGAAACGTGTGGGCGATTCACCACAATGAACGCGAATTTCCCCACCCAGACCGATTTAATCCAAACCGTTTCATGAAGGATCATCCTAACTCGCGACCTTTTCCTGGTGAGAGGGGATACATGACATTCGGCTGGGGTCGACGCGTGTGCTCAGGCCAGGCGCTCGCCGAACAAGGCACATGGTTGACCGTTGCGAGACTAGTTTGGGGTTTCAAGATCGAGCCAGCACTAGACGAGAGTGGGAAGCCTATACCGGTCGATATCTTTGATTACACGTAAGTCTTGGTCGGGAGGCGACTAACATGCAAGTACTAATGTCCACTAGAAACGGCCTCAACATGCGACCGCAAGTGTTTAAAGTGAGCATCAAGCCGCGAAGCGAGAGAATACGGCAGGCTATCATCCGAGAGGGCGAGCAAGCATTGTCAGATCTTGCGCAGTACGAGGGTGAGACAAAGTATCGTATGAGTACTTTCTACGGCAAATAAAACTGGCGATGGGGAAGCGACAGTAAGAACAGCTGGGGAAGTAGTAGATACGCTCGCGTATAGACATGCAGTTTTCGTCAGTCAAGGCGAATCGTCGTTCATGTCGTCTCAACGGATACCGCTTCCATGAATGTTGACATAAGAACAATACCAACTCTTTGCCAATGTTTAGTAAGAGATTGTGTTGTAGCACGCTAGCCAGTGGGTGAAGCGACTTGTATCTGTTAACACAACGTTGTATTGCAGTAATCAGGCTAGTCTAGTAGCTTGCTTTGTTATCTATAGTACCAGGACTACCGCTTGTATTCCTGCAACAGCTCAGCCATGGTGGTTGTCCAGGCTCATCTGCTGCAAGATTCTCCATAGTAGCCAGTTCTTGATTTCGGCCTCGCTTTCTAGAGATTGGAGTTCCTCTTTGATAGCCCGCTCGAGGTTCTGGAGTACTTGAAGAGTGTACGCTAAACTACCCTTTACCTTCAGCTCGCTTAACAGGACTATCTTGAGATCGGTTGTCAGACTTTCTGTTCGCTTCCGCTGCTGCAGGATCGCATTGATCTCTGGGCTGCCAAGCTTTGAAGCATGGATGAGAGGGAGAGAGTATTTTCCTCCATCGAAATCGGAGCAGAAGCCTTGATTCTTGGTGTTCTATAATATGTCAGCTATTTTTGCAGAGAACGCAGATGGCGGGGTTGGTGTCAAACCTTAGAGGACTCGAGATTCTGGTAATCGTTCCGGATCTGTATATACCGTCCAAATAGAGTCAAAAACTCCTCCATATCCATGCATCTATATGAATATTAGGGACTATACCTAGTCTATGTGGTCGACCGATAGCTTACCTATTCATGGTTGCCTGACCTTGTAACAAGCGGCTAGCCATACGAAACAAGGCAGTCGTTTCTGGAAATATCATTGTTAGAATATAGAGAACAAGCCTGTAGACTATCATGGTGGCTAAGTCTATAAGACTAAACAACTTACTAGAATCAACTGTTTGAAGGTATTCTTCTTCAGTGGGCGTGATTGAATGATATGTCCAATACATATCGGCTCCCTGACCTATTTGCAACGCCATGAGCTCCTCTTTCAAAGAATTAGTGAAGAGAATCTCGACATTAGGGTAGAACTACGTTACCAGTGAAAACCAAGACAGAGTCAGAGGATATCTTCTGTATCTGTCTTAGTGCATCGGCGCACTGGAAGTAAGCAGAGTTGACGGTCTGGCCGATACCATAAACTCTGTGGGCGGCTGGGTGGCCACGACGGAGTGGGGAGTGATCTTGAATGTCGTCTAGCCTTCAAAAGGTTAACAGAGACTTATCCTACATGCGGTTGTACTTACATAAGTGAGGAGCTGTGTAGCTGTGTAATGACTGTCCGAATGATAGTCAAGTGGTGCTGTGGTACCTGGTACCATGTATTCAAAGCGTCGATGAACGTGTGCCAAATTTCTTTGGAAGGCAGCGATGCAATGTATCTCGATGGATACTCAATGACCTATAGTTGGTGTTAGTTCCTAAGCGTAGACCAACTCTAAATTGTCCATTGAAACCTACGCTTTGGTCCAACGGCGGGAGCCGTTCACAGGTAAACAAGGACGGTTTAGTTCGACCTGCGTACTGTTTAGATACTGTTGAATCGTTTGTTTCCAGAGATTTCTCCTCGATCTACTTACCCATAGAGCCCATTCCGCACTCGCTATCGGTCACGCCTTGCCCGCTAAGATTCAGCTTCGATATCTTTAAGATATCATTGCTGATGATTGCGGAGGATTCTGTCGAACTATTGAAGAAATAGGCACCTTCGTTAATTCTCTGAGCCAGGTACTGTTTGTACTCACTCCCAAATGCCGTGTTGTATCGAGGACATGTTTTGCTCCAAAATATGTTGCCTGCCAGTACGCCTTCCAGGATTTCAAACCACCGCATGATGGCAGGCGAAGAACCTGGAATCTGGTACTGGGAAAAGAACTCAGCTTTGAGTGAGCAATAGTCGTCCTCAAGGGATTTGATCTTTTCTTTGAGAGCGACTTTTGCCTCTTGACAAGACATTGAATACCATTCCATGAACAGGGGAACAGCGTTTCTCACAACGACCTTCTCGTTGGACCGGAGGAAAGTCGTATACTCCGTTTCCCACGAGAAATAGTCGTTCGTGAGAATCATAATCTCATAGTAAGGTTTGAGAACTGGTTCAATCAGTTTTTCTTCCTCTTTAGTGAGACTGAAGTTGGATCCAAATCGAGCGACGGCAAAGAGAAATCTACAGATATTAGTTGCAAGCTCTTGATCGAAGAAGTAGAAGAAGATCTACTCACTCGAAGGCATTGTCCACAAGGCGATCCGAGAGATATTGAGTAAGATTCTGATATCGAATCTCCTCTTCCATCATGGCTTCACCACGCTTCCATGTTTGCAGGCCTTGAATTACAAGATTCCCGAGTTGAGAGTCCGTATCCACAAGCTGAATAGCAATTTTGGCGAAAACTTGCGTATGGCGGTTCTGCCAACCTGGATCCACGGCCTTCTTTCTACCACCAACTGATACACTAGAATCACAACATTTCGTGTCCGGCTATATAAGAAATCTTGTTAGCAAATATCCAGGACCTTCCTGAGAGAACATGATTAGAATACACCTACATCAAACGGGAGCCAAAAATCGACGTCTTTTATCAACGTTAGTGAAGAATAACTTGAATGTGGAAGCAACCTACCATTTTGGAAGAAGGCAACCTCGTTGATGTAAGAGACGAGGGCGAGACGTTCAGGAAGGCAATATGGGTAAGTCAAGGATGTCCAACCACCTGAACGCAGACTAAGGCACCCTTTCACGAACCCCACATTAGCTCTCCCAAAGACATCGATCTGACACTGAACCGTGGCATCATCTGATGCTTGAGTTTCCTTGTGAACACGTGGATGGAATCGACAGAAGTATTCGGGATCATCGATGTAGCGGTTCGGTGGTATAGGAAGTGAAAAGTCGGCATAGTCCTGTAGTCCATTTGATGCCATTGTTTTCGCCTGATTCGTTTACTGCAATATAGATGGTGGAAGGTGTATGATTTGAAAGCAAGTGGGAAGTGTTGATGTTTAGAGTAAGACTTCTAGATTGGCGGATTTGGATAGTCTTTTAAACATTCCCTCAAGGAGATCTCCTCAAGACAACAGCGACATCTGATTCACATCTAGCATCAGGTGTTCCTTTTACATTGTTTCTTTTAAGCCATGTTGACGACAAAAAGCAATTAACGATGCGAATCCTGTAGGAAGAAGCGAGTATTATTTTCATGACGACTATACTTAGCATCACTTTGTCAAGAAGGGTCTGGGTAAGTTTCGTCAGTATAGTTTTTCGAACAATGTTTTTGAGCTGACGTGTTTCACAGCCGAGCGACGCACTCTGTCCACCAAAACAATATCGCAATGACAACGCGTGATGTCTTAACAACCCCAATCTCTCAAAGGCTGTACTAGAGCTGATATCTGATTAGCAGTCTCCGAGCTTATCATATTACAACAATAATTAGTCAAGGTTATAAGATTAGATGTGATGCACATTTACCTGACTGCGCCTACATCGCATGGGTCGAGGATAAAGATCTATAGGCCATCCAGTTTTGAACATAAGTCAGACTTGCCAACGCATACTTGCATAAAGATTGAGAAGATATGAATGCCCTCAGAGTATGCACGACTGCATGTCTCAAAAAGGATTTGATCAATGCCGACCATTCTCGCCTCAAAGCGTTCGAATGCGTCCGCTGGCAAGATTGCTGCATTCTTTTGAGCATTGGCCGGTCTACATATGGCTCTCTGCACGTATGATGATTCGAACTATGTCTAATTAACTAGTTAGTTGCTCTTGAGGTAAGCATACTGTGCTGCAGGCCTTGGCATAGCATGTTTCGCAATGCAGCAGTGGCATACATGCATCCGTCCAAGTGATCCCGGATTGTCGGACCTTGAGGGCGTGAAACAAACAACTCCGAGGATGTTGTTTTCATCAGCCGAGGCGAATTTTCGTCCATGTCTTTTCAACGGGTGCCACTTCCAAGAATGTCGACGTACTACCAATGCCAACTCTTTCCCAATGTGAGCCTTGACGCTGAACCACTAAGACGTTGCACTCGCTATCGTGGCCATATTCGAGATACCACGGCAAGTGCATCACGAACAATCCTCGACCGACGTTGACATGATCTCCCCCTGTAGGATTGATAGACACATATACTGGTCGAGAATCGTTGTTTGATTTCTTGCGATCAAGCTCAAGCTGGTAGCAATGCGGTGCGTCCGATTGCATGATCTGAGTGATGTAAGCGCTGATGTGTATGAAGCGAGTGAGTTGTTGCGCGTTTCGTGCGTCCTCGGAAGTGTCGTGTAAGTAAGACATGGCATGGTAGATTCGCCAGTCAACGGTGTTTCCATTCCGGAGTTCCAAACTGACAGTGCATGGGACATCAGGTGTAGATCGGTGTCTGTGATATCGGCCGTTGTCCACCATCATCAGTCCCTTTGCCCATCTTACTGTACCAATCCATCCAGTCCATGACCAACTAGGAAATCCAACCCGCCGTCTGACTGGGTTATCTACATCCCAGCTTAAGTTATTCACAAATCTTGACAGCGATATAGTAAGTGGTGTTCTATCGCGCCGAAAGTTTACATCATAACCAAAGTACGGCATTCCCCAAAGATGTTGTATGCCACTATATGGAATATTCGTGCCTTGTCGTAGTAATGCAAAGATGCCTAGCAATGCATTGAGTACGTCGTCTTCATACGTGAGCGATCGCTTTGTGAATGCCTCGATCCGGTGGAGGACACTCTTAACGTGCCCGTTGATAGTTGGAAAAAGGCCCGGGTCTGGATTTTTGTTGAAATAGTCACACCAAGAACCAGCACTCTCTTCATCACGTCGCCAGAACATGTGTTCAGGAGCTAACCAGCCTTCCATTCGAGACCTCTCCTGGCATTCGTAATAGAGTTGGGTGTCAGTGAAAACAAGACGCCTAGTTGAAAGTAGGCCTTCCTGATACGTCCAGCCTCTTGAGCTCCATGTTGTACTCTCCAGGGTTTCTCTACTAAACAAGGGAGTGGAATACAAGATCCGTCGGCCAAAGTAGAAGGGTTGGTTCACCACTCGTTGCCGACTGACGCCCGGTAGTCCATAAGAACCATCAGAGCCGGCCGCTGCGATAATCGTTAAGGCCGACCCAGCATAGATCTTATCCATCTGTCTGAGCTGCGCATGGAAGTCCTCTGAAGATTTATTCAAGCAGTACCTGTCAACCCACAGGTAATCGTGCCCAAGTGCGAGCGTGACTTTGATGGCGTCTTCGATGGTCGCTGGGAGGTCTTGTGGTAGAAGCTCAGGTGCTGGTGACTCTAGGCGAGCTTGACCAACAGATTGATCTTTCGGGTTACCCCAGACGTAGCTCAATGTCACATACGACGCGGTAGCTGGTAAGTCTCTGATTAAGCGATGCTCGCAGTCGATAACCTTCAGGCCGGGTACGGAGTATGAATATCGTAAGTTCTTCCCTCTATCGACTGTGCGACATTGATGGGTGTGTACACACGAATCTATCCACTCACGAACGACCCTGTAGTCGATCAGACGTGCTATTGGTTGCAAGTTTCGAGCGATAGGTCCAGTGCAATCAAAGATGATGGAGCTGCGGATATTGAAGAGGTTGAAAATCCGCCAATCCCGCCGTGCTTCGATACACAGTATGGGCGCTTCGATCTTTTCGAGAAGAGGAGTTACCGCAAAATGAGCTTGTACAGCGGTCACGTTGTACATTCCACCTTTCGGCAGATGGCCCATACTGCCACTCAGGAATCTGCAGAATGCGCAGGTCTTCGGCTTTAGCTGATATATTTCCAGCACGATTCGGACTGCTATCGCAGGTTTGAAGCATAGTGCATCGTCCAAGTCGAATGCCGCGCACTGTGAGCAAAGGCCCTCAGGCGCCGCAGCTGGTTCAGGGAGTGAAAGCGAAGTCGGCGATGCCATCGTCTAACGGGATGAGTTTTGACAAGCACAAAAGATGAGGGAACGCTGCCCGCAAGCGAATGGTTTGAAACTGCGTACGGAAGCCCGCAAAGCTGTAGACGCGACGACTGCGCCGCATGCCTACAGGACGCTACCCAGGCACGTCTTGATCTGCAGCCTTGTGCGACTTCTCAGAGTCAGTAATAAAGCGTTTGCCCCACGTTGTAACGAACTCTGATTCAATCGAACGCGACGAAGACCGTGGATAATTGGATTCAACACCCGGCGCTTCTGAGTTAGGCTGGGAAAGCATTGCTAACAATGATCGCGAGACCGGTGGATTCATTTTCGATTCAACGAGATGGCACCTAATCAGCAAGGATGATTACACGACTCGTAACGAGACTGCTCCAGACAAAATTGTCGCCTTGAACATCAGGAGCGTCATCCGTGATCAACGCCGATTCAGAATTTGCCGCTTACGGAAATATGATGATGTAAGCGCGCACGTTCCACCGCGTCATCGCGTGATTGCGATATCGCGTCTCCTTGACCTGCATCTACATAGCCATCACCACGCATTTTCAGTTCTATCACGCCACCATCAACGCATGATCAAAAGCTTCTAGCGCATTCAATATTGCATATTCATTCTTCTCGTTCGGTTGACACTTTAGTCGTGCCGCAAGCCTTTGGCACAAGGCTTCCGGGATCTGCTAGACATGTACAATGACTGATTCCTAAGTTAGATACCAGATGAATATGACTGGCCGACATCAATCATTGACCCGGAATCATTCTCACGGGTCTTGGCTACGAAGAAGCCCCAGTCTGATATATGCAACGCGCTATTCGAGATCAACATCCTTCTCTCGAACTGCAAACTAACATCATAATCAGAGAATCGTGACCAAAGAAGTCGAAACCTCTACAAGAAGTTCATGGCACGATCCCAAGAGTTGGCGATACCGATTGCCGCGCAAGATACGGATCCGCAAACTCCTCGAAGAACAGCGCGCCGCTGACCCAGCCACATGTCGCCGCATTATCCGCCTGCGTGCACGTCCACTCTTCATCGACCGGGAGCATATATGTTGTACCTTTTCTACCATGCTGCGGTAGACTGAACAATACAATGAAGCAGCGCGCCTATGACTCGAAGGACGGGAAAGTAGGCGCCGACGGAGATCTTTCTATAGGAGGTGTTTGTCTGGTATGCCACAAAGCGCTTACGGAGAGTCTTTTGCTGCACAGACGAATCGTTTCAGAAAAACCGTTCAACTTTGGGGCTGACCTACCTCGACCTCCGATGATCCAACGTGCTAGCGAATGTATCCACCCCGGCGGTCCACAAAGGTAAAGGGACGACTGCAGCGCAACATCAATCTACCAGGCGAGGTTTCCGCGCGTTGCCTTTCTACACCCGATGGTATTAATGGAGATTCTGGCTGATAAGATGCATGGTTCTGCATGGAAATCCACTTTCAAAGCGATCGATGCTTTGGTAGAGAAAAGTACTCAGTGTAACCAACCGCATCCAAGCAAGACATTACCGATTTTGTCGGTCGGGCGGCAAGGATGACGGCTGGCGAGGACTTCCGGGTGGAGTGCAGATATGATTCGGCTTCCTTGAGTCATTGCTGTTATACTCACGACGGAGCTCAATCGGTGGTGCGTGCGAAGCAAGCATGTTTCGTGGAGGTGAGATGTTAAGTT